CACGGATGTTTCAGTCTCCTGTTGCTGCTGTGGTCCAGTGAAGCAATTGAAAGGTCTGGCCGGCACAACGAAACCTCCCAGCATTGCTGAGGATTCCTTTGAACGTAAAGTACAGACTAGAAAGTTCATGTTCCCAGGAGAACAGTATTTGTACAGAAGCCTGTGCTTTCATTCCAGGATTGGAGAAATGGTCAATCATCTCGAGCCATCACCACAAGAGCGGTCAAACCGCGTCTGTGAATGGCCCGATGTTCCCTGAAAGGTGCTCGACTCAGTCTTCCTTGGACCTGTGAATGTACTTGACGTGAAGGCTCAGCGCGTGGTCGGTGTCGAAGCTCTGGCTGCACTCTTTGCACTGGAAAGCCTCCAGGTGAGCTTCAGAAGAAGCCTAAACCCCCTCGACCCTAAAACCCCGAAAACCTAAACCTTCAGACTTTACAAGCCTAGAAGCAGAAGAAGAAGCCCTCCCTGATTCCCTCCAAATCTGTACCCAGATCTCCCGAACTCCCCTTAAGAACTATATCCCCTTAAATCGCATTGGGGATCCGAGACTATTTGCTAGCTTGGAAGGTCTGGGAACAGGTTCAGCCCTCGGCCTTGTTGCAGAACTTGGGCCCCTCTGGCTTAGCACGAACAGCTGTCGGGCGCAAGGGCACCGGAGCCGTGGGCGCTGGAGGGACCTCTCCGGATTGCCAAAGAAACAGGGCCGAAGATCGGAGGGACTCTATACATATGTATATATATATATATCTATATATATATATATCTCTCTCTCTCTCTCTCTCTGTCTATATAAACAAATAAATAAATAGGTAAATAAAAAACGTATAAACATAATAATTGGTATAAATATAATAAAGATATATATATATAATAAAGATATATCTATCTAAATAAATAAATAAATAGATATATAAATATAAATATATTACACAGAGAGAGATGTGTATATATGGATGAATCAATACATATGATTACTACCCATTAATTGGGATCTCTATAGTACTTGCCGAAGCGCAAAGTTGGCTTTCTACATTAAGGATTACAGTTTGGGTATGCATGAACGTCTCCGGTGTGTGCGTGTGTGTGTCCCGATCTTTTGGATTGGTTGCTTGAAACTTGAAACATCACTATCCTGACACCCTGAGAGAATCCCAAGCAAAAGGAACTGGTCCAATTTCCCAAGGTCACGGCAAATTTTCGACTCTGGCGGAAGCAGAAGCGCTCAGGGCTGTATAGAGCTTGAAGCAGTGTTTAAAGGTTTGTTCTTTTGGAAGATTGCGGGGAAAAAAATCAACACACATGTGGAATTCGCCACAGTCAGGGCTGAGGGAGCGGAGTTGAGGGTTTAGGGTTTAGGGTTTACCCAAAAAAACGAAAGGTGTCGCAGGCAGTCCACAAGATTGCAACAACCAGAGTCACTCCATTCTTCGCCCTCGGCATTGGTTGGTAAGTAACGCTGCGAACCATCCTAGAATCCAATAACCTGGACTTGCCCTGCTTAATTATTAGGCTGACTAACTGCAAGTGCGCATGATCCTTCAAGCACGTCTTGCCTGGGCTTTGATCTCCGGGAGCATGGCGGCAGGTAGTGGGTAGAGATCCGGAGTGAGTTCTTTTTTGTCTGCAAATCTTGAGCCAGATGTGTCGACATGTCGAGCAGAGGGTAGGGTGAGGGGTTTAAGGTCTCAGGATTTATGTGGAAGCTTGCTCAAGTGCACTCCAAGGAAACATTTTAGTCCCACATCCTCTAAGCTGTAAGCCCAAATCCCGAAGCCCCTAAACTATGCTAAAGCCCAAACGCCTGAAATGCTGAGCCCTGCGGCCCAATCTTCCACAGCTCCAGGCACGACGCCGCACGCAACGACGGTCACACATAGCCCAGTATAGCTAAGGTCTCATACAGCACACTGTAGTACAGTACAGTATACTCATAGTCCATGAGGTATTTTCCAAACCAGCATCCGACGGTTTAGAGTCGCGACGCCCCTAGCTCGCACAACTAACCCACACCGTGTAAGTTCAGGATCCGGGTCTCTCTGTAAACGACCATGTAAGTAGAAGGCGCAGCTCACGGTCCTCAAGTCACACTACGCCCTTGAATCCCTGAAAGATAACGAAAGACCAGAAAGCCCCCCAAACCCTAAACCCTGTCTTCCAGCAGCAACAAGGACGAGACTGGCCTGTCGGCCGGGTAGCCAGCGGTGTTCCACCGGTCTCGGCAGGAAGTAAGGCAGGACGGTTTAAGGCCTGGGGCCGCGGGGTTTAGACTACTATGTGCGGAAAAAACATCAGTGTCGGAATTTTGCCGGCGAAGGCTTCTGGAAATACTGCTGCTGCGCAGCAGCAGAATGCAGCAGGAGAACCAGCAAGAGCAGCAGCAGTGGTGGTTGTGGCGGTGGCGGTGGCGGCGGCGGTGGCGCGGCGGTGGCGGCGGTGGTGGTGGCGGTGGCGGCGGGAGCAGCAGTAATAACAATAATAGTAGCAGCAGCAGCAGCAGTAGTAGTGGTAGTGGTAGTGGTAGTGGTAGTGGTAGTGGTAGTGGTAGTGGTAGTGGTAGTGGTAGTGGTAGTAGCCGTCGCAATAGTAGGAGTAGTAGTAGTAGTAGTAGTAGTAGTAGTAGTGGTAGTGGTAGTGGTAGTCGTAGTAGTTGTAGTAGTAGCAGCAGTGGTTATAGCATATTAGTAGGTAGTAACAGCAGCAGTAGAGGCAGTAGTCGTTGTCGTCTTTTTCATCGTCGTCGACGCAATGGTCGCAGTCGGGACACTAATGCTAGTGCTGGTACTTACTAGTTCCAGTACTAGTACTCGTCTTCATACATAGTACGACGACGACTACTACGACGACGACGGCTACCTCAGGGCTTGCTGCCAGGGACTTCCCGCCGACTGCACTGCAAGGCTGCAGGCAAAGGTTCTCTTGTCTGGGAATCAGGCTGCAGATCGCACACAGTGGCTGTGAAGGAGAAGCTAGACCTGCCCGGTGCAGGGCCAGCATACCTTGCACTCTCCCGTGTCTGCAGATCCTCAGCCGACCACAAACACAGGCTTCTTTCTACACGTAAACAACATGAGAATGTGCACTGGTTCAGTCGCATCAATACACACATGTTCTCACGCTCCGTGCCACTCTATCTGTACACATATGTCCATGTCGAGATGATGAGAACATGTTGCAGTTCTGAAGCTAGTGCTGTAGCCAGTGTAATCAGCCCACGTTTCTTGCAGGATGGTTGTGAACGCTGATGAATAACCCGACCTTCAAACTCCAGAAAGCATGACTACTAAGCATCGGTCTGCATTCCCACGGTTTACGCCCGAAACCGGAATTTAAAGCGACCGCCTCAAGCCGCATTTTTGCCAGAAGGCGTCCCATGCTGATGCCTCCTGGATTTGAACAGGTACACGTGGAAGGGGACCCCTACCCTAAGTATGTTGAGTATTGGTGAAATCAAGCAAATCAAAAAAGCCTCTACTCTAAATACTTCTGATTCGATCTGAGTTCGGAGCGGGGACCTCCGCACACAAACTGCTAATTGATTCTGCCAGTTACCTGGTGTTCGGGTTACTACAGGCAGCCCAGGCAGGCCCCGAATTCCGGAGGGACGACATGATGTGAACTTCAACAACTATCCAAGTAAGAAACACACATGCCAATTCACAACTCCGCTGGAGACCTGCGATCCTGCATAGCTGTGCCCTGAACTCCCTCCTACTCTCGAATAGCTTCGTAGCACTACGACGTAGACCCCTAAGACACGCCCCAAAACCTTCTTTCAACACGGACTGAAGTGCCGGCCAGCGCCTATGCAACCCTTACCCCGTGTTAAACTGCAAACTTCAAGACTCAAGCAATGCTAAACCATGGAATCGCCGTTATGTGGGGCTATCGTCTTGGGAGGGTTTGATAGGGAATTACAGAAGTAACTATGTATTCAAACCCCTGTATTGACTTCTCGAATTGCCAACCCCGGAAGCAGGAAAGCCCCGAAAACTATTTATGGGTTTCGATGAGTCATGGTCTTTGAGGCGTGAAAATGCCCCTTAAGTACGAGTCGTGGTTTCAGTTTTCTCATACACATTCCCACTCCAGCCCGTGGACGCCCTGACAATCCAATGTGCATGTGCACACTCTTTTCATTATTCGCGGGATGCGCAAGTGCGGCTTTTTACTCAGAGAACCCAATACCCCTCAATTGAGGAATATACCTTAAACTATAGGGGCCTTAATATTATGATGTAAGGTACATTCCTTAAGTTAAGGGGTATTGGGTTCTCTGGGTACGAGGTGCAACCAATCTGGCTTTGGAAGGGTTTTCAGGTGATTCCTGAAATTCAATGACAGGTTAGGGCTAAGGGATAAGAAATGAGTCATTCACGGAATTTAAAGTGCAAAGTTGAGGCTGTGTGAGTTTGACGGCTGGGTTAGGGATTGTTCACGACATAGGAAGGCCAGACAAGCGAGAATGGCAGCGACATAGTCTGATGACCGATTGTTCCCCACTTACACGTCACAACATCATACCCTAACCCCCCAAGTGGATACATGCATAGACTACCTGAAGGACTATGTGCGGGGGGGCCGCATCCAACTACCCTCAGCCCTCAGGGCCATGCATCTATGGGCCCTGAAAGGGATGTTGATATCATAGCTTTAGTAGGGCCAAAGCACATAACTATGGGGTAGATGGACTTATCGGTTATGTGTGCAGCCTTTGCGCAAGAAAAGTCCTGCGGTGCAGCAGCAGTGTAAAGCATGCTCACCTCATTCGCCGTGCAAAGTCAAGTTGATTCCTAACAAAACGGACCCCTTGTGAACACAAGTACAGAAAAGGGGCTGAGTATGAGAAACAAGTGGGGTAGAATAATATGGACATGTGTAACCGACATGCCCGAAATGCCGCATCCTCAACTTTGCTGTGGGATCTTGCAGCATGACACTGCTATGCATGCGTGGCTAAGTTGAGGGTTACGGGTCTAGGGTTTAGGGAGCCCGAAACCTTAAATCCTAAACCTCAAGCCGTTTTGAGTGCTGAACTCGGAACAGGTTCCCGCCCTCTTCGGCAGAAAGATCACAAGAGCTCGGGGCATGGCAAATGACAGCCTGATGCCAGTCAGCTTCTCCAGGTTCGTCATGTCCTCCACGAAGACCCAGTTTGCGAGACTCGGGTTTATAGGGTTCAATGTCAAAAAATACCCACTTTTGGGGGGAGCCCTAAACCGATTAGGGCTCTGCAGCGTGTACTGGCACAAGAAGTCGTGTCCCTTATAATCACCCATCAGCATAGCAGACACCTGGACCTAGACACAAAAACGGCAGCGGGACCGTTTTAGCGGGCTCATGTGCTTTCCCCTACCTCGGGTTTTTGACCAGACGGGTCAGCTAGTTTAGCTCGTAACGATATGCAAGCGCCTAAGGTGTAAGGAAAGCTTCATCTTCAAGGCTTCAGGGTAGGTGTTCGCTGGAATTCCCCGCCTCGTTTCGAACCTGCACATCGGCCAAGGGCAGCATCCGAGGCCTCGTGTCGCCAGCCATAGCATGGGTAATGACCTGAGCCCAACATGCCGCAAGCAAGCTTAGTGAGGGTCCGTGCTAGCCAAGGGATTCGAAGGGCTATGGCTGCTGGTTATTAGGTTCCATTCCTCTTGCTGAATGGGTTCAATCAGCAGCAGACATTGCAGTGCACATGCACATCGATGTACACGTACACTTGCACATAACCTCCGTGCATCCATCCTTCCATCCATACATGCATACACACACAGAGAGATAAATCAATCCATACATACACCCGCACATACACACATGCATGCATGCGCGTATACATATGTTTGTATGCATAATATGTATACCTACATAACTGCATATGCAAGTATGTATTATGCCCTGTCTGTCTGCCTGTCTGCCTGCCTGTCTGTCTGTCCGTCTGCACGTATGTATGTATGTATGTATGTAGGCATGTATGCATGGGTGTATGGTATGGTATGGTATGGTATGGTATGGTATGTATGTATGTATGTGTGTACATATTATGCACAACAATGAATACACACATTCCGATGTGTCTTATGTTCCCCCAAGTCTTAACGAAGCTTTGAGTTGACCGACCCTGACAGGGTATAGGCTTACAGTTTAATGCCCCAGTCAAACCTCTTATAAACATCTGTAAACCTTAGCCTTACCCTGAACCAACCCTAAACACTCTGAAATCTCAAGGTCCAGATCGCATTACCTCTACAGACCGAGGCCCAACTCTATTCTCTGCCAATGAGGCTGCGACCGTCCAGTTGCTGGTGTCCATGGCCCACCTCGTCAGTGTCACCACCTCTCGAGTACTTGGGGCAGTAATAGGGCGTTGGGTTTAGGGCTTAGGGCCATGGGGGTTCATAATATGAAGCTCTATGCCCTTGTGGCCTAAGGCTTGCAGTCTACAGGTGAAAGAGGCCGACGGACGGCGGTTTACAAGCGGAAGGATCTCAGGAACCACATGCAGGGAGACTAACTGGGGGCCTACTCTCCCTTACTGCGCGTTATTGGTGAGAGTGTGGTGGAGGCTCTCTTCATGGAACGTCACCCCATGTAAAACCCTAACCTAACGTAGCCCGGGCCTGCAAGTATCGAATCTTCCGTAAAGCATAGTGAAAACCATGTTCCTCAATTCAGGCGGAGTCTTGGGCAAAAACATAACAAGAAGCCCTGTACAAGTTAGACCATGTTCGGCTCAATGGGCACCTAAACCTCACAACCTTAACCCCGCTATCCCTCAACCCTACACCCGAAACCCTAAATCCCAACACATCTGAACCCCTAAACCCCAACACCCCATTCACCGTCCTGCTGGGCTGTGGCTGGCGGCAATCCGCCAGCCTCGGAGAGACTTCCCCCGGCCCAGTTCGGGTTTCGATCTTATTTAGGGCTTAACGGTTAGGGCTTTTTCCCTCCCACTTAGCTTATTTAGGGCTTAGGGTTTTAGGGTTTAGGGTAGCTACGGAACCCCACCCCCTCCAGGCAGGTTTGTACAGTTGTGGGATCAGGTGCCTCTGTTTAGCAGATTCTTTTTTGGGTGATTATGTAGGGCCTCATGTAAGGTGATACTATCAAAGTTGACAAGAGGTTTTAGTTTCAGGTCCCCGAGGTTGATGCTGAGTTCCATGACTCAAAAGGCTCAGAACCCTTGTTGCATCCGGGATTGCAGAGTGGGCCGGGAAAGCATCAGAAACCCCAAACCCTAAACCCCCCCCGAACCCAGAACCCCTCTTCAGCACGGGCTTTGGGTGGGTGCCGGCAAGCTGGAATGACAAGGTTTTCACAAGACACCAGCAAACTCTAACTCCCTAAACCCTCAACCCTTTGTTGCAACTGGCCCTAAATCTTTTTTTGCATCCAGGACTCTCGCAACCAGCCGGGAAACTGGCCCTAAATCTAAACCCGTAAACCCTAAACCCCTAAATCCTTAAATCCTACACCCTACATCAGAAGCTCTTTTTCTGAGGGCCAACGGCGCTTTCCACCTGCCATTGCCTGGGAGCTTCTCAGCCGAGCAGGTTCCAGGCTTTCGGGATGCTTAGGGTTCAGGGTGCTACTAGTGCACTTTGGGGGATTTGTGTGCGTACATGTATGTGCATATTTACAAACACAGACACACACGCACACTCGTGTACATATATATATATATATATGTATACGTGTGTGTGTGTGCGCCTATATATATGTATATGTATATGTATATGTAAATCCACATACATACATACATACATACATACATACATACATACATATATACATACATACATACATACATATATACATGCATGCATGCATGCGGGCAGGCATGCATGCATACATTCATGTGTGTATACCAAGGTTGATTCGTGTTTTGAGGGTAAGTAGGGCTTTTCGGGTATTGCGCAGACATGAGTACTACCTAAACTCTCCAAAGTAGATCCTCCGCGTTGCTGCTTTGCCGTTCATTTTCTGATGTCCTGGAGCTGGCAAACAACAACGGAACTACCTACGAAAGTCTAGTCATGCACAGGCAGCAGGTAGTGACAATGTGGAAGATGACATGATCTTCACCACTGGCTAATGTCATTCCATTGTGTACGCGGGCCTTCATACTTATTAGAATACTATTCCTCAGGGTTCCTTGATGTAACTATACGTTAACATCCCATAAACCCTATTCGAATTATCAAGGCCCCTACGCTAGCAATGATTGTTCTCAAAGCTATCCCCCAAGTCTGCTATGGTTGCAGCCAGTCATGTAGAGGGCATAAAAATTAGAATACGTTTTTGCTGTAATTTACACTATGTAATTACAGTAAGGAAAAGCCGCAATTATTAATAGCCCCTATATTGCTTATGTTGTCCATGGCTATGCTGCTAGCACAAAGCCTGCACTAAAATACGAACTCAAGTATCGTTGAACCCAGAAACCCTGACCCCAATCCCGCTGAACCCTGTGCCCGTGGCTTGGGCATGCTGAGAGACCGCACTGCATCTTCTTTGCAACCGCATCCTGCACCGCAATGGCCTGTGGTGTGTGCTTCGTGGGCAGTATGCATAACAAGCATGAGTCGTGCAGCATTAAGTGTTTAGGGCTTACGAAAGTTTCAAGCTTGTGGGCGGTGGTGTTGGCGCTGATCGCCGGAAGCTTGCTGTGGCTTTGAACTTTGTGCATGAAAGCAACACTTCTACGCCAAATGCAAGCTGCCTGGTTTACACTCATGGTCCCGTCTTGGGTGGCACAGTGAGTAGTATTTCATGATATTTTGCCTATTTGGGGGAAATTCGCAGCGAAAGCGCCCGGAGTGATCTCTGAGCGAAGTAGACATTTAAACTTGAAGCATAGGAACCTGTCATCACCAACACGCCTGTGTTTTGGGGCCGTTGGACTCTTATAACCTTATGTATGTAAGGGTAGTAAGGCCATACGGACATTCTATACTGGTACCCTATATATCCTCGTAAGGATGACGGTTCTTCCTATAAGAGCACCCTAGTTTTGTCGTAACCTTGTAATTTTTCAGTGTACAAGGGTACGTACTGCATGTAAGGGCTACTGGAAGGGATTTCTATAACCCTAACCCCCCAGGTACCTACTATATAGGGTACTAGAGCCCCTGGGGGGTTAGGGTGAGGTTATCCTAAGTCCCAGGGAATGATGCTCAGCTCTCGGCAGTCTGTGGGACCTGTCGCCGCGCCATCTGCAAACATGCTCGCGCGGCTCGGACCTTGGCTTTCCCAGAGCTCGTTGGTTTGAGGGTTTAGGGTTTTGGCGATCTCACTCCGACAATCCAGGCGGGGTGTTGGGTTGTGGGTTTGGGTTCTCGTTTGCTAGGGTTTATAAAGTTTCGTCGTATCCGCTACGGAATGCAAGCCACGATTACGCTAGCATGTCTAGCGGAGGAGCCGCCTCATCTGAGTTGAAGTGTCGTACCAAAGAATACTTGCGGTCCAAAACCTGTGGTGGAGTCTAAACAGGAGAGGCGTTTTAAACAGGGCTTGTGTATAAGTAACGACATAGTGTGCTACGAGCACTCGTAGTGGCGCAGCATGGATTCGGGTCTCGTTCCGCGATATATGAACTTGGCCACGACTCCCCTGCAAGTCTGCTACACGCACAGGCACAGATTGAGACTGATGCAGACGTACATAATGCACAGGGTTCTCCTACAGTAGTGGCTGAACCCTCTACATGCGATGGAATAAAACCGGAATCACATCCACACCCTACCCGAAACACCAAACCCTAAAATTGCCACAAGAACTCCTTTGCCGCAACCCCTTGGAGATTTCTAGGGCCCCACATCTTGAGGAGATGCGCCCTCAATCTCGACGGTTGGAGCCTGCTGCAGCATAGGGCCTGCGAGACTCTCGCTCTCGCGCTCCCTGACTGACCCTACAACTTAACAAGTAGGGGCCCCATATGCATATACTATCCTATACTATGAATCTGAATTCCCCATGGTAAGCGCGACTTTAACCCTTTTAGGGTTCACTTCGCCCCCTAAGGATCAGCCCTCGCACTCTCCCGTTGCGTCGGGGGCTGGTCTTCCGGGCTGCGTGACGCTACAACCGGGGATGAAGCATGGTCGTTTAGGGTTTAGGGGTTTAGGGTTTAGGGTTTAGGGGAGTTCCCCCTATAGAGTTAACCCAGCTCAGCTTCTAATTGTCCTTTTTGGGGGGCCTGAACAGTTTGTGAACTCTCTCCATCGGGTTGGTTCCCTAATTCATTTACAGTGTAATCCTATGCCGTGTTAGCCAACAACAAAGCATCCTTGAAGAAGCCTGGCAGGGCAGTAAGCGGCAGCAGGTCCGGGTGCAAAGCCTGCGTGAAGGTCGGCTGTTCTAGACTCGCAGGGCTCGGGATCCGACGCCCTCACTGTGGTGTTGTGGGATTTAGGCGGATTTAGTGCTCAGTGTTTGACATTACGATTGGTACATGCTAAAGCTGTATGCAACTACGCACCTATGATTGTTAAGAGTTGCGAAGGGCTACTGCGAGGAAAGGACGGGATTGATTGAACAATCACAACAGCACAAAAAAGCCCTGTGGCTACTGCATAACATGAGTGCAATGCCTGCCTGTTCTGGCCCCATAGTTTCACAGATCATGACAGACTGTGAAGCTTCCAATGCTCTCGAATCATAGGGGAAAGTATTAGGGTTCAGGGTTTCAGCACTCACACTCGGACATGCCCTGCGCCAGGGTTCCTGGTGCATTCGAGTGAGCTCATTGGACGGCCGATGGCCGATTAACCACCATCACTAACTTCAGGGTTTAGGGTTTAGGGTTGCCCGATCTAGAAAGCACTGAAAGTGAAACGGCTGCCTGTCGTCTATCTCCGGCAATGCTGCCATCGAGTATCTCTCGCACCTGCGGCAAAGGGATGGAGGTTCCGTAAGGATCTTCCGACACGTTAAACTTGGTGGGCTCAATCATTAAATATTTACCACAAGTATGTATGGCGCGCTGAAAACGACCGTAGCTGGGTTGATGGTACGACATTTCGCAGTAACCGAAGCCAGAAACAGGATCCCTTTGATAGGGAGTTTGAGACTTTTTGGAGACCCTGCTCTTGGGCTTACTGCAGGGTTTAGGGCTTAGGGTTTTGGAGTTAGGGTTTAAAGCCATCCCTCCTTGCACATCCCAACACTAGAGGCTCAGAAAAAGCTCTAGGACAAGGAGCTTGCAAGTGCCTTACCCTAGGGCTGTTACTTAAACTTCAATAGTGGGTTACCGTATAACTTTATAACGATATAATAATAATGTAGTACCCAGTAACCCATTCTAAGCAGCTGGAGCCCTAGGCTAAACTTGCTGGAAGGATTCTGGGCCAAAGTCGGCCACTTTTTGAATCACCTCCTCCTGGGCCAAAGCGCGGCTTGTTGCCCTCAATTCCGAGCCCCGAACTTCAAGCGAATTACCCTAACGGTCCTCAGGGTCCAAGTTACTAATGTGCTAAACCAAAGTCCCTATACACACACTGTATCAATTGGAAACGTCGAACCCCTCGGGGTTGGAGTTTAGCGACAGTTTTGTGTGAGGGCTCGAGGACTGGGGACCTCGGCAGAAAGCTTGGTCCAGGTCTCGTCGGGCCATTGCACGGAGAGAGCCACAACGGCCTCCCGCCGGTTGGTGTAGAAGACCTTGCAAGGAATCTGTGTCTGAATTTCTGAATCACGAACAATGTCTACTTCCTGCACCGTCGACCATGCACGCCCTAAAGTACAACAGCGACACTAAAAACGACAACAGCCACAACCACCACAAGCAGCAACAACAACTGCTGCCACTCTTTGTCCTCCGGCCAGTTCACCGTGGCTGCGGGTGTGGCGGCGGGGCGGTGGTGGCGATGAATTGTGTTCTACGATGGGTCTTGCTCGTGTCGCCTGGGATAGCTGTTTCGTTGCTTTCTTCATCGACTTCATCGGCTGTCTTCGCTAGTTAACTTTGCGCATCTTGCTTGGGCTCCTGCCGGCCAAGTGTGAAACTGGGGCAGCCAAGCCACCCACGCCTTGCTGGGCATCAAAACTCCACGGTGCACTTTAACCCTGTATAGGGTTGATAGCTGAACTGTATGGTCAGGGCTACTTCAAGGCCCAACAGCAGCTGGGGTTGGCCAGGTATCCTCGGGACATTTTACGGCAATGCCTTATTTGCAGTTCCTGGCTGGGTACCTCATCTAAGAGGATGCAAATATACTGTAAGTGCAGTTGAAGTATCTGACAGAGGTTATCTCTGAGTTTCACACTATCGCTTTGGAATTGCACGCGCAGTGTAGCAAACCCAGCAAATCCGGAGGCTATGGTAAGATGCCGTTGCTAGCCACCTCAAACTTCGAAGTTCCTGCCTGAATACATCAATCTCTCCCCCTCTGTGTCATGTCGTGGATGTAGGTTCGTGACTCGAGATATCTCGAGATTTAACATAGGCATCAGATCGCCAAGCCACAATAAGACTGTGCAAGGTTTTGGAACCAGTTACATGGATGTCCAAATCCGTTCTCTTCACGGAACCTTAAGCCTGCAACCTGAACAGAAACACCCCACAGCACTAAACCCCCAACCGACACCTCACAACCTCAACAACCATAAGGGCCTAAGACCCTAAATCCTGGAAGTGAAAACCCTTCACCCGGCTGCAGTGCACATGCCCTCATGCCCGCCTCACGCCACAGCGTCAGCCCTCAAACCCTAAAGCCCGTAACCCGGGCTGTCTGCACCTCCCGTCCGCTGGTTGGAGTGGCAGCCTTTGCCGCTTTACCGGCGGCCTTACAACAGAACTTCTGAAAGAAAGGGCTCCTTTTGGGTTTGGGATGGTTTTGGTTGAGGGGGGAGTTTAGGGTGTAGGGCTTTTGGGGTTTAGGGTAGAGTCGTTTGGGTTTTCGCCTGCACCATCTCCGAAGAGCGAATGTCGGGCGTGAGGCGCGAAGGTGACGCTCCATGCAACAGACCGTATCGCAGGACAAGACCGGCCAAAGGCTAGGTTGTTGTTGGGGTTTAGGGTGGGTTCCAGGTTTGACGATTTTTGATGCTGAGGGTTTGGGGGTTTAGGGCTTGTGAGTTCTGTATAGATTATGGTCTAGGGTCACAACTTGCAATTGGCTTCCCATCTATTGTTTGAGGCTTTGGGCTTAAGGTTTCATAGGCTGTACCCCTAATCCTACTCCCCAAAATCGCAACATCTCATCTCCTGTGGACAGTGCCGTTAGCAGTTTCAGCGCTCGCATCTAGGACAAGCCGTTCGCGGTTTAGGTTTCGGGAATGTCGCAGTAAGGAATTGCAGCCTCAACAATGCATCTTTGGATGCAGGTCCTACAGACTGGACTTTGGTGGCAGGGTTTCAGAGCGTGATTCGCTTTGCACAGCAGGCCGAATGAACGGCACACGGCCTGTCGATCGTAGATGCACAACGCATAATCCAACGTACGGCGAGGTTCCACCGCCCACTCTGACAAGGCTTCTCTGGCCCATGACCTCCGCCAGCTTCTGAGCCCCTTTTCAAATCCGGCTTGCATGTGGCGCCTTGATGCGCTGAGGCATGCTGAAGACACATGGGCCCTGAGAAACTGCGGTCGGCCCTTCAACAAAAGCCAACAGCAAGGTAGTGCTAGCATCTAGTGGCCCACTCATCTGGGAAGGGAAGTCAGGATTCAAGGCTTTCGGCTTTCAAGCGCTGAAGATTACCAGATTACCATACGTGACAAATCGAGAATCGACAGTCCCTGACCCTTGAATGCCCTAAACCCTGCAATCCCGCACCCCCCAACCCTCAAGATCCTAAACCCTACGAGCATAATCCCGAAGCTTAAAAAAATACGCCAAAAAAACACCAAAACCGGCAAATAGCCCGAAAGTTCCTCGAACATTCTCGCACCTCCCACATCGAGGATCAGGAGACTTAGTGGGTAGGGCTACAAGTACTTTTTTTTTTTTTTTTTTTT